GGTTTCATGAAGCTGAAAACAGTCCCAGCAGACAGACATATCTGCCTAAACAGCATGAACACTTTTCCACACCAGCAGGGTGGATGTAGACTGCTGCTTCCTGCTGGGACTGAGGCGGAGAAAGCGCCTTCACAAAAAAATATCAGTGTGTGTTAATCTGGGTTGGTCGATTCTGGATTGGAGGAACTGCTTTTTTTCTGTGCTCAGATGGGATCAGCTTCCATTTTAAAGTGTTTTTTGAGGATTGAAGCTGCTTTTATGAACAAATATGGAGGTTTGGATTGGTTTTGTTTGAGCACTGGTTTTCTTTTGAACTTCTACAGAGTATGTGCTTGTTTGCAAAGAGAAACTTATTCTTCAGTTTAAGCTAGAAGAACCATCTCAACAAAGGATGAGTCAGATGATCAGTGACAAATTAAATTTCTTTTCAAAGTTGTAAATAAAAAAAAAGATTATTGGAGTATGTTTTACAAGAAAATACTAATTCAGACTTTCTGCTTCAGAATTTCATTTTTAAATTCAATGTTACTTGCAGTTTCTTTGAAACAATTTTCACTCAAAATTTGCTTTCATAAATAATTACAAAGTATCCTACACCATTTTTTTTTCAGTACAGAAAATTCTTAAATATGTTAGATTTAATGTAATATATATTTGTAAAGATCCTTACACATTGTTTAATTGCCTGAAAAGGTTTTTAGAATTTTTATCATGTTAATTAAACAAATCTTGTATAATATTACTTGCTGTGTTTGTTTGTTTGCTTGGTTTTATTGTATTTATGGGATATTTGCATTAGTAATTGAGTTTTGCCATGAAAATAGCCCCAGATGCTGACATGGCATTAAATAAAATTATACTATACTATACACTTTGTTTAATCTAAGGTTTAAAAAAAAAAATCAAGATTTTCAATGTAGTGTAGTTTTTCTATTGAGTCCTGTACATTCTGTTCTCACTGACCTAATTAAAAAAAGTCAAAATAATTTTTAGCAGCTTATTTTATGTATCAGAAAAAATATGTAATTTCATTAAACGTTGAAACGTTTTTCATTTGCTATAATGTAACTCCATAAAAGTTATGAAATTATACACTTTTGGTGGCATATGGTGCAAAATATTACTGGTTTGTTCGATGTCTTCAAGACGATCATAGATCATTCACACAGTTTTGACTGAACTTGATTTGGGTTTTAAATGAATAAAAAATAAATGAATAAATAAATAAAACATATGCAGTTTTCACAAAATGACTTTTGAAAAATGACACATTGTTTGTATCAAAGTGCACCAGTTTTGTTGACCGCTGTTTGACATTCAGCATGATTACATGACATGATGATTGTAGCATTTATTGTCATGTGTGTTTAGTTTCATTGAGGTTTCTACTGAAAAGGCATTGACCTGGATCTGTTATGTCATGCATTACCAGCCAAACACGTTTTCTCAGACCATTGTAGTAGTTTTGTTTCCCCCAATCCAAGTAGGAAAGTCGTTCAGCGAGTTTGTTTGGTAATGAGCTGATGGTATTCAAGCTATGACAAACTCACAGTCACAACTATGACTTACCTTATCGGATTACATGTGTACACATGATGGTATTTGTTCCCACCATAAATTGAAGTTCTCCTTCAACCTGTAACCCATCTCATCCTGTTGTCTTGTCAGGGCCAATGGAAGAAATTCATGACAGCATTTGATCTGTTTTGTGAAATATATTACAATTTAAAATAACATATTTCTATTTGAATATATTTTGAAGTGTAATCATTCTAATATGCTGATTTGCGGGTCAAGAAACATTTCTTATTATTAATGTTGAAAGCATTTTTTGTGGAAAACATAATGATTCATTTTTCAATGAATTGAAATTTCAAAAGCATTTTTTAAAATTATTTTTTAAAAACAATATAGAAGTTATTTTACCAACACTTTTAATCAATTTAATGCATCTTTGCTGAATAAAAGTATTCATTTCTTAAAAAAAAAAAAAACTGACCCTAAACTTTTGAACAGAAGTATATGTATGTATATGTATTTGTATTTTTTATTATTTATTGTGATTTATCACAGCTTTTGACAAGATTTCTTGCTTTGATGTGCCTGTCTTTAAAAAAAGCAATAAGGCACTCAAGACCGTATTGTACAGTGAATAACGGACTTTAGTTGTCAGTATATTCATATTAGCAAGCCAGTTTTAGTTTGCTCCCTAATTCTATGCGCCCTTTGAATCGTAAAATGTCAGTTTGTGCCGTAGGACTGAACCTTTGAGAAACAGGAAAGTCACACCTTTTATTGTCACCGCTTCCTTGGTTTCCATACATTCATGCACATGGACACATCAGAAGTACATTAAAGCTGCTATTGTTTCCTAATCATGACTAAAGGGCTTTCTGGCGAAACAAATGAGGGTTGTCTCGGCTAGCTTGCCTCTAGCATGTCAAATTAGGGCAAACAAATGCTATTGTATTTTGCATGGTTATCTTTTGTGTAGGGGTGCTCCGATCAGGGTTTTTGAGGCCGATCACAGATCGCCGATCACAGAAAGCAGTATATGTCGATACGATCACCGATACCAATCTTTTTAAAGCCTTCTTTTTATCATTTATAACTATTTATAGTTATACTCCAATCAGAATTTTTAGACATTTATTCAGGGCCTGAATTTCATTTTTGAAAATGGGGGAAATTCCCCTCTTAGGTGACTCTTGTGAGAGGGGAAGCAGCTTTCACACAGGAGTCCGCTACTGATCCGTGGCTGTTTACCACAAACACAACATTTATCCATTATTTTGATTTCAAATCCAAACATTGTCACTGAAAATGCTTTTTCAGAATAGCTTTTTTTTGTACACAGTACAGAAATACAATCTTTAACAGGCATGTTTAAACACAATAAATATAAGCAACACATTATTCAATGCTTTTTACTTTTGCATTTACTTCTAGACTTATATATTAAGTTGATCAAGCAAGTGGCAAAACATTTAAACTACTTTTCTTACGTTATCACAAACTTACCATTGACAGAAATAGACGGCTCTACTGCCCTTTCTTTTGCATTTAAATATTTATTACAAGCAATCCTGCGGTTCATAAAGAACTTTATTTTCCTACCACTGCCGGACAGCAACCGTGCGCAGTGTGTACGCTTTATTAATCCGTTAACATGAGCGCGGAAAAAATATGCACCACATACACACTGCAAAAGGAGTAATGTGAACCTAGCATTATGTGTGTGCGCTGCGAGTGTGCATGAGCGCACGGTCTCCAGGAGAGCGCGCGAGCACTGAATGGTTAAACACTGGCAAGAATTAAAAAGTAATGCAATTTATAAACTTTAGTGACGATGTGACACTGCCT